GCGCGCGAACGGTGGGGGGAGGAGGGAAAGGAGGGGGAGGGGAACATTGCGAAGGCCGTAGCGCCAGAACGGCTACAGCTACGGACCTGGTAAGTAGCTAGAACGATTCGCACGACCCGAAAGCAGGTACGTGCAAATCTGTGTAGCGATCCTACCGTGGGAAGGGGAAGCTCCAGCTGGCTACCCTGCTAGCTGGCAATCTCCCCACTTCCTCGGCCCATAACTCTCTCGCAACGCACCTATGAACACGCTGACTACAGCGTTCGGTTCACATTCAAAAATGCGCCATTTTGACCCCCTGACCGCCCCAAACCATTGAGCTTAATGGAGCGGCACCATAGGTGCCGAGGAAGTTGAGGTGCCCGGGAGTGATGCTGCCTGCCCTACATTTTTCCCAGAGTTCCAAGATTCTGTGATTCTAGAGTTCCCAGTCTATGCCACTGATAATTTCAGAGTTGCAGTGCTGGGGAGTGCTAGTACTGAGTCTAGATTACTCCCAGGGTTCTGGGGTTCCTGGGTTCCGAGCTTCCGAGCCCCCGGCAGTCCAAGGTTCCGAGGTTCCGAGGGTTCCAAGCAGTGAACATCCCGAAGTTGAAGAACACAATATCTATACAGAACCAACCTAGACATACACTATTGATGATTTTATAACAACCCTGCATACTTGCACAGGATATATCATTGCAAAGCTCCCAAATAGCACTCTTATGAGATACAGACCACATGGGGGAAGGTGGGTTCCGAGGTTCCAGCTGCCATTGGAATGGCGGACTCCCGAGGTGCCAGTGAATAATAATCGTTAACATTCGGATTTCTCGGTCCTTCAATGGCCTTTAATATCCAAGGTTTCTGGACCCAGACAGCGATATGGGGTCGAAAACAGCTTGTATAGCCGGCTCAGGAACCACGAGCATGTGGGGACATGGCTGACAGCATTGAGCCAGAGCTGAGGACAGAGCCCGTACACCTTGCCATTGTGGGCATGGACGTAGGTTAGTATGACGGTGTAGGGATCAGTGGATCCCTTGATGGTGCGGGGAAACATAACCGTGTTTCCCTCGAAAAGGGTGTCAGCCTTGCTCCCAGGCAGAATGTAGGTGATAGCCTCGTTGGTAACCTTGAGTGAGGCACGTTTGATTGTTTTCTGAGGGGAACAATCCCAAACAGAGTCCGAGTCTACGAGTTCGCCCAATCTGTGCAGGCCGAAGAAGCCAGCGTGCAGCAGGGCGAGAAAGAGCTTGTCGTCATAGGTCAGAGTTGGGTAAGCTGCCACTGCACGTGCTAGGTCGACCACGCAGAGTGCATCTTTGTGTTTTGTGGGTGAGCCAAGCATTTGCTTGCAGCCGTTCATTGTTCGGACAATGAGGAGGCTCTTGTGGATAGCGCGGATGTCGGGCAAGTAGGGTTTGAGCTGGTTCGCAATACCAGACATGTACGAGTCGATGGAGCGGGGTTCGATGTGGTTAGTGGTGGCGGAGAATGGTTCACGTCACCATTTGCCGGCAAATGGCTATTGGTTCGCAAGAACACGACCTGGCAAGACCTGGCAAGGCCTGGCAAGACCTGGCAATTGAAAAATTGCGGAAAAAATTATAAGTATTGCTATATTGTATAGTAGCCTGTATCCTAGCATATCAAGAGGTGCATTAGATACCCATTGACTCTAGGAGGATCTTGGCCTTGTATGAAACAGTCTGCCCTGCCGGTTTTTAAGTTGTTTCGCCTTGGATTGCGCAAGGTTCCCTCGGCGGAAATCCTCGATGATGGTATCACAGCCTGCATTGAGCTGTTCACGTATCTCGGCGGAGATGACGGGCAGTTTGCGGGCAGGTGAGGAGGCATGGCTAGACATGAGAAAAGAAGTTGATGGGAGTAAAACAACTGGTGTAAGGAAAGAAAGGCAGCGAGCTCAACACGGGTAGAGTGATGTGCAGATGAAGGCGGTGGCCTCGCTGCTATAAGCTACGGGTGCAAGCTCCTGTCTCTCCGAACCCCTCCGCAATTACAGGCGCAGGTTCGGTGCAATGCTCATAACCAAAATCTGTAGGTTAGCTCCAGTGTGAGGCTGTACGGAAACGGGCGGTTTTGGTCGCTCGGCGGGTCATACGGACTCAGCGACGGTGTGTGTGCAGCGAGTCGGGCGGACGCAAGCAAAATATTGGTGCATGTGGCATGGCGTGGCTGCAAGGAGCCCGAGTGCGGCACCAATTGATTAGACTCCTGATAACAAGTCATAAACCAATGATAGTTCAGCCAACCATCAATTAGGTTCCAGCAGCCTCAAAACTTGATGGTTTTGCTCCGTTCTTTTTGTATATCAGCTTTGAACAGGTAGCAGAGTACAATGACAGGGCTGTATATACTGTATACTGTTGAGCAGTCCCTGTAGCGCAGCGAGCACAAGCGAGCACAAGCTTACCTGGTTGGGGTAGGAGCGGGGTGACAGTAAGAGACAAGCGACTTTAGGTAGCATTTTCTACAGTACTGGCCTTATATACATATCTGCAGTAGTGTACGGAGATAGCCATTAGATAGAAAATGTCCAAGAAAAGAGATGATGTGGTTATTAGACATGGTTTCCAATGCATGGGAGAGTAACTTGCCATGTGTTGGCAGAATCTGCCAACACATGGCGGGTTGATGGCATCACTGTTCAATATATACCATGGGAATACCACACAGTTGCCATCAATATCCTCTCAAAGCTATAAATTATGACTATAGTCAGATCATGGCTACATAGAAAAGAATAGAGACAGTAAGTAAAACAGTGCAAGCATTATCAAGTATATAAGCTTAGAGAAGCTATCTATGCTCTGTTCAGATCAGAGCAGGTCAGATCAGGTCAATCAAGATCAAATCTTTGGATTGAGTTAGACCGATCACATGCTTGGACCAATCAGACCGGAAGTTACAGCACAAGAGTTGTGTGGGAACTAACGTCCTAAAGGCGCCAAACACTTAGGCATGGATTTTCAGATCATTGGTAAATCAATGAGTCAGGGATGACTTGTAACTTGGGCTCTGTGGTGCAATACTGGGGATCTCGGCACTTAGAAGTGTGGCAGACGTAACCACCATTGTCTGATGCTCCGCAAAGATATTGATTATCTCTTTATAAGTGTACCACTTAGATTACTGCCTTAGGTTCACACAAGTACTGCGTTAGACCCAGTCGTATTAGAACTAGAAATAACACGAGTTGTATGAATGTCAAGGTAGTAGTTAAAGCATGAGCCCCGGATGGCGCGCCCCGCGCGCCTTATATATCTTCATCATTTCAAGGCCCTAACCCAAGTCTGATCGGAGCGCGCGTTCTGTGTGCTCCGCTTCTTAGTTCCGCATGCTCCGCTTCTTAGTTCGGCGATCGAATGTCGCCTACTTACACACTCCCCTGCTAGCGAGGACCTACGGGTTGAGCGATACATAAGTAAGTACAATGTTCGGGGCCGTGGTTGTCAATTCGCTAAGTAATTAGTGGCTATAGTCAGTGCAGGCCT